AATACAAGTGATTGGTTATTTTAACATAGTTTTACAGGTCATTGGTGGGTTCATACTTTGGTTTTCTGGCGGGAGTGTGGATGACTGATGTAATTTTCCAGGAACTGGGGCCCGCCTTTTTACTGGTCTTAATGGTGGCCTCTCTTTGTCATGTTGAAACATTAAATTTTAATTCCACACTATAATCTCTAACCTCTCAGCAGCTGAGCACATTAGCCTTTTTTACCACCCCCTGGGGTGGATTCAGAGGTTCTCGTTTTCCATATATTTTATCTCCAAATCCATATATAGATAAGTGTTATCATTCATAGAGTTTAGAGCAGGAGTAGAAACTAAAATTATTTTTATGTAAGTTATCAAAAGGGTTATTTTTCTTTTAAGTAATTTAAAATCATCTATTAAAACTAAAAGCAAAATATAAACAATAATGTCGTAGTTTCAATACATACATTTAAATGAGGCTGAGCTTTAATTATTTTCAAACTTAATTGAACTGCAGACATCTTTTTCAGAATTTTAGTTCCATGCTGTATGAAAAGTGAATTTACTCTGTAAATCTTCACCCAAATCCTAATGAAAAAAAAAAAAAAGAAAGAATTTTAGTTCCAGTGTCCTCTAGCTACTAAAGAATTAATATCTCTCTTTATTGCAGGTTCAATCTAGAATAAATATATACAATTTTAAGAGTAATATTGCTTGACACTGCAGCGCTCCAGCTGTCATGAGTAACTGTTGTGAACACTACTGATTCATGAATACCCTTCAGAACCGCAGACGAGTACATAAAAGAAGCAAGAAAATGCATCCTCAGTATTCATGGAAGCAGAATTTCATTATCTAGGAATTCATGGCATTTATGCCAACTGTGAGAAAAAAGATTGATCTAGTTGATTGATTTGTCTTTTCTGTAGGTATTTTTGTCCCTCAAATCATCCCAAATGCCAAATCAGATTGTCTTCCTGTGTCCGCTTCCCCCTGTGTCATCCGATATTCAAATGTAGTTTCAAGTCTAGGGTCAGAGTATATATAAAGAAGCATTTTCCTTGAACCTGAAAGGTGTTAGTCAGTGTAACAGTTGTTTAGGGATACAGATTATGCCTGAACCTGAGTGACAGAGATATCCTTGTATTCGTTAATGCATTTGTGTGTGTGTATGTGTATGTAATTTGGGTGGTCCTGTTAAATATGGGGCTTAGGGCAGAGACCCTTTAATTAATTTTAATTTGGTTCTGTCTACATATTTGCTCATCTTCTTCTCTGTCTCCTGTATTAAAAATAAAGGATCACTTTTCAGAGATCATCCATTCTTACTTTCCACTCTTGTCACTTCCATAAAAGTCATACATATCATCTTCTTCATTGGACCGTCTCTTATAAGCCTGAAGTAATTGTAACTGTCTCAGGCAATGTTAATGGGATAATTTTTTAATGGCATCTTTTAGAATTTATTACACTTACAGAGATACTTATCTCACTTACTGTATCACAAGCTTTTTTATTTTTTATTTCCCAGGTCTAAGACACCCTTAAATATGTTAACTAAACTTCATTGAATAACATTGTATGACTAATTTAAAAAAAAAAAAAAAACCAAAACCTGCTGACATTGAGCCAATTTTGACTCATATTTATTATCATAAAAAGGCACTGTGGGGAATTATGGTCCTAGTTACAGTACTTTTTATCCTGTGGATACCTCAGTGGCTTTAAGTCAATCCACGGGTACAGGCCAAGAAGAGGACAGCTGGGCTGAGCAATCCATGCCTGCTGGTAAGAAGTGCTCCTTTCTGAAGGTTTTAGCCCATAAACCAAAAGTCAAACTCATTGCCATCTAGTTGGATCTGACTCATAGACCCCCCTCCTTGGGTTTCTGAGGCAGCATCTCTATGGAAGTAGATTGCCCAATCTTCCTTCTGAGGAGTGCCTGGTGGGTTTGAACTGCCAGCCTTCTGGTTAGCAGTCAAATGCCTTAGACACTAAGCCACCAGAGGCACTATGTTGTCGTTGTTGTTGTTATGTGCTGTCGAGTCAGACCGGACTCATAGCAACCCCTCCTTGGGTTTCTGAGGCAGTATCACTACGGTAGTAGATTGCCCAACCTGCCTTCCGAGGAGTGGCTGGGGGCTTTGAACCACCAGCCTTCTGGTTAGCAGTCAAATGCCTTAGGCAATAATTGGGTGTGGAAACAAACTAAATTGTTATCAGCACATGTAAGTCTTGGTATCTTTTCAAGTAATAGTCCTGCCTTTCTAAAACAAGATCAAAGACTGATTTACAGAATTATGCCTTGATTAAAGAACTAGAAGTTTATAGCTGTAATGCTGTATCTATACAGACATAAGAGAAGAATACTGAGAATTCCATGGACTGCCAGAAGAATTTACAAATCTGTCTTGGAGGATATACAGCTGGAATGCTCCTTGGAAGTGAGAATGGCCAGGCTTTGTCTCACATACTTTGGTCATGTTGTCAGAAGGGACCATTCCCTAAAGAAGGAGGTCATGCTTGGTAAAGGGTTGACGACAAAGAGGAAGACCCTCAACAAGATGGGTTGACACAGTGGCTGCAACGATGGACTCAAGCATAGCAAGGATTGTAGGATGGCACAGGACAAGGCAGTGGTTTGTTCTGACATATATAGAGTTGCTATGAGTTGGAGCCAACTCAACGGCACTTAACAATAACAACAGCAACAAGAACATGCTTACATTGTTATTATCATCTTTATCATATCTAGGCTGTCTGGTTACACAAAGGTTAAAGCATTCAGCTGCTAACCAGAAGGTTGGCGGTTCAAACCCACAGGCCACTCCATGGGAGAAAGATGAAGCAGTCTGTTTCTGTAAGAATTTACAGCCTTAGAAACCCTATGAGGCAGTTCTGCTCTGTCTGCAGGGTTGCTATGAATCAGACTACTTGATGGCAGTGTATTTATCTAAATCTGGTAGTATGATGCCTAAGGCACTTGACTGCTAACCAGAAGGCTGGCAGTTCAAACCCACCAGCCACTCCTTGGAAGGAAGGTGGGGCAATCTACTTCTGTAGTGATTCCACCTCGGAAACCCAAGCTGGGGTCGCTATGAGTCAGGTCTGACTCCACGGCACATAACAACAACAACATCAGAAAATATAGCAAGGCCATGGATAGTAATCTTAGAAATCACTGGAGAAGTCTGAAGAATAGAAATAAGGTTTTTTTTCCCCCCTCATTTTCATTTATTTATTTTGTGTGTGTGTGTGTGTATCAGGGAGATATATAAACTTTTGTTTCTCAGGTTCAAAATGATTTCTAAACTGTTGAATGCTGTTTTTTTCTCTTTAATATTCCTTTTGTTCCTTTCCTGTAACAAGAAAACAAAACAAAAAAGGAACAAGGTAAGAAAAAGGGAGAACATACAAGTAGAAATGTAATGAGAGGGGAAATTGGGAGGAAAACTGGAAAATGGAATACAGAGGAATTAGCAAAACAGATGAACTGAACTGTGTGTGACACCCAGGAAGTTTTCACAGATAAGAATTAGAACAACAACATTAAGAAGGGAAATATGTGGACACGAAGTCTGAATTGATCCTATTTCCTCACAATTTA